CTCTCTCCCGCGCTCACCATGTCAACCATGTCTCTCTCTGAGAAGCAGGCCTTGGTTTTGATGGATTATGCATCAAGTGGAATATCAGAGTGGGGGGGGGGGATTGGGTTTAAGTAGATGGGGAATTAGGGGCTGTGGAGGCACAGGGGTGCGGAGGCATTGTGCCAACAGCCTTGGCTGAAGGGGCGCTGGGTTAACAGAGTGCCATCTCTGACCCCCCCCCAAGTCATCAGACTACCAGGATTCTCTCTGCCACAACATATGAAGCTGGGAGTCAGGTCATCTGACTAGCCTTGTGTGGGGGGAGGTGGGGGAATGGTGCAGCCCTTATTACCCCCCCCCCCCCCCCGTGCTCTTTTTGAGGTTTATCACACCCTGGGGTGTTGTTTTTTTTAATCCCATAATATTGCTGATTTCTGGCTCTCTCCCCAACTTCACTTTGCGAGTATCATGACGTTAATCGCCGTTATATCTGCCACTGCAGTAGTTGTGAACTCTGGTCGGGTTCCCTCTGCCGCGTGCATCCTTCCCCCGCAGTCTCCGGGGAGTCCTGTTGGCAAGGGCTCCGTATATTAAAAAGAACCGCAAACAGCACCTTAAACCGAAGCGGCGTTTGGAAGCATACGCCACCCGGCTAATGCAGCCGCATATGAATTGACCAGGGCTGAGCGTCCAGGAGGAAATCGGGAACGAACCGGATCGAAGTATTTCCAGGCATTAGAGGTTTCTCGGCCTGCCTTTCCGGCCTGCTTTGAATCGGCTTCGCTTTGCAGGCCTATTCCATGTCCGCTTCGTCTCGCTTTTGCCGTGCCTCACTCCGTGTACGTTTTATCAGCCTTTTCGCCCTGTGCGTCCTGATACTGCCTCCGGGCTGAACGCCACCCTGTACTGGATCAGCAGCATGTGGAGATGAACGGATTATTCATCATTGTTATTGTTGTTGTCGTCATCATAATCATACCCCTCCCTCCCTTCTTACTGCTGACCTCATCCAGATGACGTCATTCTGACCTGGAAGTTCCAGATTGCATGTACACAGTAAAAATGACTCATCACTAATTTGTTGTTATTATGTTATCTGATCCGTTTATAATAAACTTAATACTTCATTAAATAAGCATACCTCCTATATTTAAAATGACAACAAAAGGATATGACTTTATTTTTGATGACTCGGGTATAACGTGTTTTTTTTCTCTGCTGTACACACTTGCATTATTACTTCCCTCTTTTGGAGAGCTGTTGGGCCGGCCCTCTTTCTCTTAAGGTACGCTGAAGGGCTCATGGCCCAGTTGTGGGGGTGTGCTGGGAGCGGGCTGGCCAGTGGTGCAGTTTGCTGCATTATGCACAGTATGCAGCCCCTCCCTGGCTTCTTGGAGGTGGTCGCACAGCCCTCCGCCACTGGGGGTGCTGGGCTTCTTGCTACCTCATTCTGGATACCTGTTTAGGGTATGTGTAGCGGTGGCGGGAGGATATGGGGGTGGAGGAAAGGCTGGGAGGGATTTTGGGGGGGGATTCCACTCGGCTGCATCTGACAAATGCTTGTGATGTCACACTGCAGCCTCCCCCTCTCTGATCCAACCCCTCCCCTTCTGGTTTAGATTTATCTCTCGTCTCCTTACGGCCTGCTGTCTGGGACAGGAAGTCTGCTTCCTTTCTGCACGCTGGGGAGGGAGCCCTTAGTGCCTGGTGCTCAGGGCTGCTCTCATCTAGGGGTTTGCTTAGTTTGCTTTTTTTTTTTTAATTTTTTTTATTTTTTAATGTCCGACCACTGGTGACGAGATGGTAACAAAAGGTTCAAATCTTACCACAGAAGTGTGTCCACAGCCAAGTGGCCACAGTGTCTGCGTGGATTAACATTCCGATCAGGAGTTATTTTCAGTCAGGTGTGAAAACATCCTAATAATACTCCTTTGGTATTTTACTGACTCTTTTGGTGTCTTTCTGTTCCTTGCTGTTTTATTCCGGTGTGACACACAGGAGGAAACCGATCGTCTCTCGTTCATTTGTTTATGCCCGTCGTCCCACGTCTATGTAGCGTATCATCCTGGGGCATGATGGCACCAATGTGGTGAGGTCATCGGGGCGGCCCAGGGGGGCGTCTGAAGTGGAATGTGCGGGGGGGGGAAGCGACCGTCAGGTGCCCCCGCAGCTGAGCCCCTGGTCTCCACTGCGTGGGATAATGAAAATGAAGCCTCTTCACTGATGCCGTCTGACATCCTGTGAATGTATCACCGTCCTTCAGTCTGATATAAACCCGGCTTTTCTAACACGCCTCACAAGTGAATTAATTGGGACACGTAAATACAATTACCCTCGATTCAGTAATTGCAGAGGTTCACATACTTTTTCCGTCAGTGGCCTTAATTATTCGGACCATTTGTCTAACAAATATGTGTCTATGTCAAATGTGTGTCTTATTCGTTAAATGACACTTTTTATTATTGTGACTATTGTTATGTCGGAATACGTTGTAGGAGCAATTCCACTGACTTTTTTTCTCATCAGTGAATCAGATTTAATATTAAGATACAGCAGTGGCAGCAAAGGATTGCTCTGTGTTTAATTTATAAAGTATAATACAATGTCCTCTATTTGCAAAGGGTCCAATACAATGTCCTCGAGTTTCAAATGGCTTCCCCTCTAAAACATCTAAAACTTACCAAATGTATAATAGATTATCTGGCAGTTAAACTCTGCTTGAGATCAAAAGCCTGTTTCTTTTTTTAAAATCTTTTGCCCCATGGACAGCCTCCATGCCAGAATCAGTGGATTCATGAACGAATGCAAGTACGCTGTTAGCAAACGGTTGTTTAAATAACACCCCTAGACCCCTTTAGTTTCAGACTTGGGTCTTTAGGGTACTAGATGTCAACCCTGGCAAGGACCTGACTATGAATCCAGAAACATAAGCTTCTACTATACAAACAATGCAATTCAAGACTAGGTTAAGGTCAGAAAAGTGAATCTCCAAACACATGGCAGATCTTAAATACAGTAGTACCTCAGAACTTGAATAATAATGCGTTATTATTATTTAAAAAAATTTTTAAACTTAATCCGTTCAGAACTCCGGATCGAATCCTATAAAATCCTAAAAAGCTCAGGTTCTGATGGAATTTTCCCCATAAGAAATAATGGAAAACCAATTAATTGTTCCCGGCCCCAAAAAGTTACACCTAAATATGTTTTTTTTTTTTTTTTTTTTATCATTTAAACACAAAATGAACCGGATAAAACAAGAAGAGCATATACTGTACTAAACACATCTAAGGACATTTATTCAAACAGTAATTTGTAAAGAAAATAAATGTATCCAAACAATGTGTAAAGTTAAAAAAAAAAACAATGTGTCCTGCCCCGATCGTCTGCTCCTTCCGTGTTCCACGCCCCCTCATTAACCCCATGTGAATCCCCTTGTGATCAGCTGTTTCTTGTTGTCATGAGTCCTCTGTATTTCATCCGCGTTTCAGTTTGTTTCCCCAGTCCGGTCATTGTATTGTCCGTCTGCGTTTTGCTTGTCTTACCTGTAATTAAACCCCGTATTCCCCGATACCCTGACGTCTGCGCCTTAGTCTCCGTTCTGTCCCCACTCGGCACAACAATATTATTATAATTAAATGTATTAATGGTTTATTATTGATATTAAAATAATTAATAAGAAATCTTTATTTTAAAATGTATTTTATTATATAATAATAATTACTGTTACTGTTTATCATTTTCTAAATGTATTTTTACTGTCTAAATATATGTACTCAGCTTGTGTAAACATGCACGATGCTATCACAGCGAATGCGAGGCTGAGACTGAAGCGTTACCCTTTGTTTCCGCTGAGAGACATGCCGTGTGACTCATTTCCCCGCGCGTACAAGTTATCTTAGGTCGGCGTTCACGGTTTGACTTCTGAGATTCAGATCGAGTACTAGGTAATTTTTTCCCGAACTGGTTGGTTCCAGTTTTAAGAAATTCGAGTTCTAATGAGTTCAAGAACTGAGGTACCACTGTACACTTATTTTCAGTGGGGAGCAGAGAATTTTTATTCACCCAGTAAGATGTGAACTAAAGTTCTCTTTCTACAGTAAATATCCAGACAGGTGACCTAGGCTCACTAGTAGGGAGGCCTAACATCTCAGATTCAGGATCCCCAAGGGGAGATGTTTGTTTGACATCTAGTTACCTGTCCGTGACATGGTGAGCTTGTTTAGAGCCCAGAGCTGAGGCTGCTGCTTTTGCGCAGCTAGTGAGAAGCTGCGGTTACAGGAAGTGGTTAGCGGAGCACTGAGCGCGAGCGGCTCGGCTCTGTCCGGTTTCTGCAGAACAGCGTAGCAGGTGAAAAACTGCCTATGTGAGCGAATGGAAAATTTCGATGCAGTCACAAAGTGTCTGGGGCTTTATAGGAGGCGTCGGTCCTTTTCGGCGCTGCCAGACGGCACGAAAGGTTTTCGCTGCGATGGTATCTAATTAAAAAAAAATAAAAATAAAATCCCATCGATGGTTGTACCGGAATGGTGGGCAAAGTGAGCGGGTAATGTTCATTAACAGCAATGAACGTGCTTTCAGAACATCACGGACCGTTAATTTGCTCTGGAAAAAAAAGTCCCGCCTCGCTGGCAGTGTTTGGTTTGGACGCTCCTATGTATGGGAGACGCCATCCGCGATGTTTATTTCGTACGAGGCCCCGACGGGTGGAAAATGACGAAAATGTCGGCGCAGGCTGGGCACGACAGGCACCCTTAATTAAAAATGATCGAATAACCAAGGAATGTAAATTCTGAGGAAATATCTCCGAAGTATTTCCTGTTTGAGGGCAGGAACCCCCGCCACCCCACCCCCCAGCCTTTGATGTTTTTGTGATACGTGAAGCCCACAGTTTCACTCAATATATACAAACTTTCTCTTGAATGTGAACTGGGGATGTAAATAAAGCAGCTCATTTGTAAAGTAGCCTTAAATAAAGTACGTAATGGAGCTTGTGTGCTCTTTGACTTCTGACACAGGTGTCGGGGGGTGAAGGTTCAGCCTGTGGGCAGGATGGGAGGAGGCTGTGTGAAGAGAAGCAGGCCTCACTAAGACCCCCACCCCCCCGCCCGCGGCCCCAGCCATGGCCAACCACCTGGAGCTTCTCGGTGAGCTGCAGCAGCTGGAGAAGGTGCCCAGCCTGGAGCGGCTGCGAGCGGCGCAGAAGCGCCGGGCTCAGCAGCTGAAACGATGGGCTCTCTACGAGAAGGAGATGCAGAGCAAGAAGCGGCGAGCGGATAAGCGCCGTCCCCCGACTGCGGCCACCGACGCATGCAGACGCATCTCCTTTGCCGCCAGCGTGGCCCTCCTGGAGGCGTCCGCCCGGAATGACGCCGATGACGGTAAGCATCCGCAGGCTCCCCTGCCTTGCCTAGTATCCCCGGGTGCTGTGCTGGAATATGGACCAATCACATTGCACACTCTTGACCACATGACAACAACATGAAAAAAAGAAAAAAAAAACAAACAGTGATTGGGTGTTCATCATCTATGCGTACTTGCGGGTTCTTGTGTTCTCACATATGCGTTTGACATCATCTTCCATTGCTGAAGTAAGGTTCCTATACTCGAGAACAGAAGTATGTAGGACGGTAAAAATCCCCGGATGTTGTTCTTGCCCTGCCCCAAATATTAAGGATGCAGTTGCATCCTCACCAGTGAGAACAATCCCATGATTCATTGCATCTCAAGTTTGTTTTTTTTTTTTTTGTTCTTGGAAGGCAAGTTAGCAAAGACACTCTGGCCAAGAGCACAAGTACGTTCTTTGCAATCTCGGTATTGACAGGCACCTGCAGTTATTAATTATCTTAGACAGGCTTGTTACGGTGGTTTTGACCAAACAGGCCCTAATCCGAGGGACAGCTATATATGGAATAAATCCACAGCAGCTCTGAAAAAGGATAATTTTTTATTCTCGGACAGGCGGCTAAGGATAATTGTGCCTGTCAGTGTGTCGGAAACGACTGGTGAATAACCAGCCTGCCTGATAAAGTGGCAGACGTCTGTGTCACGGGCGATGCAGGTTCCCCCTTCGTCTCTAAGGAAACGGGTGACAGCGGTGGACCGGGTCCCCCAGCCCCGTGGTTCTGCGCTCAGTGACTACGTGCTGATGCCGTCGCTTCTAGCTGACAGACAGGTTCACGGTCACTGTGATTTGCTGCACGTGCTAGGAGTGGCCACTTTGTGTGTGAATGCTGGCCGGAATTTCATGTTGAAATCCAGTGAAGACGCACGCAGTGGTGGGGGAAGCTTCCGTAGATGTGTTAGATAAGCCGGTTGTAGTTAAAAGGAAACCTAGAGTTTCTGGGCATTAGCTTGACTAATATAACTGGAAGTGTTATTTTGTCCTTGGATAGTTCATTTCCCTTTTTAAAGTCAGGCTGACTGCTTTTCATTGTCCAGCTTTGGTCAGTGCTTGAAGGGTTAGCAAACAGGTGCCAGTACTCAGCGTGCTATAGATACTTTATTGATCCCCGTGGGGAAATTCTCTTTATGCCCCCCCCCCCAACTTGCTCTCTGCTGGTGAGGGCAAGCTGGCTGAGAAGGGCAGCCCCCTGTTGTGGCACCCCGGGAGCTGGGGGTTAAGGGCCCCACAGATGTGCTGAGGCTGGGCTTGAACTGGCGGCCTTCTGATTATGAGAGGTGCCAGTATGCAGAAAATGTTCCCAGTTCTCTCAAACAAACACAAAGGGACCCATGTTTGATTGTCGGCCTCCTCTACCCATGACTTTGGCCAAATGAACCCACACGCCTGACTGTGATCCCTGGACCCACCACTTACGGCCGCGGCCCGGATCCCTCACTGTGACAGGGAATTATCCATTTTCTTTTTTCTGATCCTCTGCATTCCAGGACAATTTCCAGCCCCTATAAGCTAATGTGGTCTATGTCCATTAAACCAATCAATCTGCCCATGGTAAAACATGCATTTTAAAAGTCTAGCTCTCCCTCTCCTTTAATATTTACATTTTACATTTATTTTATTTGGCAGACGAATTTGTCCAAAGTGCCATTCAAGTGATGCAAATAGCACACTGCAAACATTACAGCTGTCAAGGGGTCGACTAGGCGTGAGTGAAGCGATGCTGAGCTTCTAATAAATGCCCAGGTACAAGTGTAAGCGGCATAGGAGCCGGAGCTACACATCATCTAATGAAGGGAGAAGCTAATATGACAAAAAAGTGGAAATAATAGGCACATAATAGGCCGTTGGAGGCCGCTGGTGGGGTGGTAGAGGGATGTGTAGTTTTGTGTCCTTCTCCCAAGGTAAAGATGTAAGCATAGCAAGCTTGAGTAGGGTCTCCTTTTTCTTTTAGCACAGCTTTGTTCACACTCTGCTGGGAAAGCAAAACTGACACTATGGTTCTTGGCCAGATGACTAAGCTGGTCAGGTTTTTAAAGGACCTGAAACACCCTACACTGAGCTTCACGTTTCCTAGATATTAGACCTGTCTGTCTGCTTGTCCTCCTGTCTGTCTGTCTGTCCATCCGCCTGTCTGTCTTACCATTACATGTTGCGTTTGTCCGCCTCCCTGTCGCAGTCTACCTGCATTAATTGCCTTTGGCATTCAGAAAGCCAGCATTCCTGTTTGCTGCTTTGCCTTGCCAAATGTCCCGCTTCGCTGTATCCCACCTGGGCGACACACGCTTTATTAAACATCAGCCTGTACTGATGTTTGATGTTTATATGTGGGGGGGGGGGCATTGAACACTGTCAAGGACACGAGTCACGTGCGAAGTCGAACGCCTGAGCGTGTCCCCACTGCAGAGGCAGCTGCTTGGCCTTGGGCTCCTCTTTTCCCTCCAGGCCTCAAAGCTTCCCAGATCAGGTGGAGGTTGCGGAGCGGTTTTGCTGACGAAGATCATCGAATTTGGGCTGCACCTGATGACACTCGAGGCCCCCGAGGAGGGGAACATCCAGGCGGACATAATAAAGCTTACCTGCCAATTGTACATTTTAACGCTGAAATCGGAGTGTTCCACAGTGTCATTTCCCAGGGCGTCGTCTAGGCCATTCAAGGCCACTTGGTCCTACGCGGTCGTGGTAGATTTTAGGTTGCGTCAGAGGACTATCAGCTGCCACAAAGCCTTCTGGGTATTTAAATGGGGAAAAAGGACGTGTGTGTGTGTGTACGGCCGTCCTATTTTAGAAAGATCTATTAATATTCCTGTCACTGTAGAACGGTCTACTTCTGAAAGCACCTGCTAGAATGGTCTCAATATGGTGCGGATCAGAAGCAATGTCCCAGTACTGCCGTGAACTCCGGCACTGAAAAGCGTACAGAAACACCCCCGTCAGCCTGGCTGTGCAGGGGAACCCGGCCGGGCTGCTGACGTTTGGGTGGAACTCGCTGCTGCATGTTGCCGACGGAAACTGAGGGAAATCCTCGACACCAACACCAGCCAGCTGGCCCTTACCTTTGTTATCAGTCTTCCCATTTTGTACTCCCCCCCCCCCCCCCCAGATAATCTCATGGTAATCAGTCAGAAAGCAGAAATAGCGGGGAAATCAAGCTGAAGAGGGATATTGACATTCTGCTCCTTCTGCTTCTTTTGTCCGAGCTACAGACGTACATTTTTGCATATTATAAGCAAAATTCCAAAGTGGTATCTGCCAGGTATCTATGGTGCATGAAAACAAGCTTTTTTTTTGTAAATCTCATAAATGATACTGGCAGCTGACATTTCGGGTGATATTTGGGATGGAATTATCATCCAGATGTGGACAGTTGGATGGTGATTGTAATAATTGCTTTGCTGTTACTGTAATTGATGATTAGAGGGTTTTAGTAGCGGCCATTGTGGCAGCACTAATAATGTTAGTAGCAATAATCATACTTTTTTTCAGGTGTTCCGTCGCATATGGCAGCCTATGGCAGGTTGAATCCAGTGCTTATTTGTTGACAGTTATGCTAATTTGTGCTGATTAATGAGGGGCTAATTGGTGTACCTCTCTGGCCAGCATATCCAAGGATATCTTGCAGTTTGGCACCAGGGTGTCCCTGCTGCTTATAGAGCCCCCTCCCCCCCCCCCACAGTGAGAGGGTCAGCCCCAGGCCCCCAGCTGGCCATGTGCGCCGATTCGTGTGTACGTTTGGCCGAGTGGGTTGCTGGCTTGCCTGGGGGGCTGGGGAATGACTTTTAAAGTCAGGCTGCCTTTTTTATGGGTCTAGATGGGAGAAATCATATAAATGGTAGTGCTGTGACCACAAGCAAGCTGTAAACCACAAGCTACACCCATGTTGCTTTATCTGGAGGCTGGTGAGGGCTCAGATGTGTGTCTCTAATGCTCTACAGTGCCATCCTGTGGTTGGAGGCCTCACTGCACTTTTACTTTCTGCTCTGTGTTATTCCAGGGAGTCCCAGGTCAGGGTAGAGCATGTGACAATAATGTCCCATTTAAATATTAATGATAATTATTCTCACTGTATGATGGTCCTCAGGGCTATTGGGCTGTAACAGTTTTCATTACCGCTATTTTCCGTTGACAAGGTTTGGTCCTTGGTACGGAGCCTCTGGCTGAGAAGGTTTCCTTGAGTTTGACATCTGTTTTCGTCTTCCCCAGATGAAGGCGCTTTAAACGTGGTTAATATTTCCTGGCTTGGGACGCTGTAGGCGGTATTTCAGAACGGAATTGCTGAGGTATCGCTGAAACTAATGGGAGCCATAAACGAAACTGTAAACTGCAGATGAGAAGTAGCCGAGTCAGTCTTTGATGAACACGGCTTGTTCGTTTGTTATAACAGTCTTATGTTTTTTTTTTTTTTTAATTTTGTTTTATTTTGTTGATGCTCATTGCGATGCATCACACAGTGTTGGAGACATCATATAAATCCTGCATTTTAATACGGCACCTTGATAATCTCCAGCGTTTTTAGAAAATCGCAGCAAATCTCCCTGCGGCACTTTATGTTGAGCCAGAGCGGTTAGGGAGGGATGTGGGGGTGGGAAAAGCTGAAGTGCCCCCCCCAGAGGGGGAACGCTTCCTATGAGCTGCATGAGCTGAGAGAAGGTCAGCTGATGGTACGCTCTGAAAAACCAGACAGACTGTAGTCTAAGCAAGAAGGAGCCAAGTCTTTGAGGACAGTGTGGTTTGTGCTCTGGGATCACAAGTTACATGGAGCTCTTTATTCAAACTCATGCAGATTCTTCTGGGTCTCGGAGATAACAGATGAGTTTCTGGGGGTGATGTGTTCCCAGGAGCCTGAGACATAACCTGGTATGAATAGGATGTCCTGCTCGCACAAGTTCAGTTGTAGATAGTAGTTGTCCAGATGGTTGTAGATGAGGCTTGATTAAGTGAGAGAACGGAGATGCAATGGGAGGTGGAACTATGTGGTGG